GTCTAAATAGTGGCACGCTTGAATAAAAAGTGTCCACGTATAAGTGGTACCCCATATGGAAAAAGGATGACACCAAGTCCCAAACTATCTTGCCACTACTCCCCATGTAGTCTACTCCCCATGTAGTCTGGGCATCTGGGGGGCTCCACATGACTATCTTTTCCCTCATAAATTTGAAACTTATAAGTATAGCCTGTTGTCCTCTCACAGGTCTTCTACATCTTGACCCCATATCTGGCATGCTTGCTGGGGAGAAATTGTTTGAATGCAAGGCGGCCAGAAAAATTAATGAGGGACTCATCAACGCAGATTTTTTTTTGCTGGGGAGTACAGACATCTGCAAATTTTTGGTTAAGGTGATTTACGAGGGGCTGAATTTTATGGAGCCGGTCACATTCAGGGTCACCCCAAGGACGACAGAGGGTATTGTCGTTGAAATGCATAAAACACATTATATTCTCTTATCTATGCCTGGCCATGGCAGCAGAGAACACGGGCATTAGAAGAATCTGGTCTGTGGACCAGTACAACTGCAATTCATTTTTTTAAGTAATGCCCATGTTGAGGGTTAGGTTAAAAAAAAATTAAAATTCGGAAACCGTATTGAGTTTCCATGCAAATGGTCTGGCGAAGTTTGAATTCGGGTTGGTGGCGATAAATTGTTGTGCATATAAATTGCTTTGATCCACAATCAATGCATACAGATCTTCTGTGAAAAACAGCTCCAAAAAATCAAGGGGAGTAGTTAAATTTTCTATTTCCAGCTGAATTCTGGGTTGAGCAGTGAATTGGGGAAGTACGGGTGCTGCAGAATTTGTGGGCTGCCAGTCGAGATTTGCAAGCACATCCAGAAGGATACTAGGGGCTCTACGGGCCTGTGTGCAAATTCTTGGTGGTTGCGGGACAATACTTGTGCTCGCCACCGCACCAGCTTGTTCTGCAGTTATAGGACTTGCCACATCGCCAAGTCATACTGCAGTGCTGGTATTATTATTATACAGGATATATATGGCACCAAAAGTTTTCTCAGCACTTTACAATATAACGGGAGACAATACAGCAACAATACAGTTCAATACAAGAGGGTTAGGAGGGCCTGATCCTAGGAGCTTACAATCTAAGAGGTATGTGAAAGAGCAGGATGTACTAGGTCGCTGGTGCTCGCCAGTTCACCAAAAGGTAGCTCGGCTCTAGTACTGGCACTCTGCTGCAAAATTTACTGGCAAGAGATCAGGCTTGATTCTGCCAACACTGCAGTTTTGTGTGCAATGTATCAAGTGACAGTGACCTATTGAAACTGCACTTGCTGGGGGAGAAGGGGGGGGTAAGCGTAGGGGCTAAACACAGGTGCAGGGGCTGATCCTGTTAATGTTGTGTTTTTGGGGATGCTATACTAATATGAACGCTGGTATAGTGCTGATCTGATCAAAGATATTAATCTGTTGAGACACTATACTGGCAATGGAGGTTTATTGCATGAGCGTCTTCCTGGTAATCAAGGGGTTAAATGTGATTACTGGTGTACTGACGGTATCTGACGCTATCTGGGAGGGGTGTGAAAACCACAGGAGCGAAAATCACCTGTATATATATGTGATTTTGCGCACCTGTCCTGCCCTGTAACAGTATTTGTGCTATAGGGAGGTCAGGAAGCGGTTACAGAAGCGGTTTGTGTTATGGCGCTGTGTCACTTTAACTGACAGTTGCGTGGTCACGTAACGCTGCACCAAAATGAAATTTACATCCTTTTTTCCCCATGAATTGAGCTTTCTTTTGGTGGTATTTAATCTCCTGTGCATTTTTTGTTTTTTGTGATATAAAAAAAAAAGACGGACAAGTTTGAGAAAAAAAATAAATATTTTGGACTTTTTGCTATAAAACTTGTCCAGTAAAAAAATGTTAAAATCAAATTTCGGCAAAAATTTAGGCCAAAATGTATTCTGTGATGTCTTTGGTAAAAAGAAGTCCCAATACCTGTAAATTAATTTGTTTACGTGAAAGTTATAGCGTTTACAAATGACGGTATAGATATTGGATTTGTTTTTTTTTTTTGTATACTAATAATAGTGGTGATCAGCGACTTATGGCGGCAATCAGTGACTTATGGCGGCGATCAGTGACTTATGATGGGACTGCGGCAGACATTCTGACACTGGGGGGGAACTGACTTGGGGTCACTGACACTGTACTAATGGCACTGGGGAGGAAGGGGTTAACATTTGGAGGCAATCAAAGGGTTAACTGTGTGAGGGAAGTGTTTTACTAGGGGGCAGGGTGTGTGCTTCTCTGTTACATACTGTTCCGGAAGGCTGAACTCTGTGATCCCAGAACAGTGAATTCCATTAAAAACAATGCAGCCTTCTTCCCTGTCAGTGTTTGCCAGCAATCGGCAGGCTCCGGCGGGTAATCACTGGCCAGGACCCGATGATTCACCCCCGCGGCCGCGATCGGTGCCCGCGGGTAGGGCTGTCATGCTTCCCGCACGTGCCCCCTACCCCGACATGCGTTTATATACATGATCCTGCGCAAATGGGCTGCCTTGTAGCAGTATATGTACTGCGGGCGGTCCGCTAGTGGTTAATTGACTTGATGCTATACTCCGATTGAAAAGTGTTCCTTTCATTTTTTTTGAGCAGTGTACTATAGTATATCTATTCCTCTACAAGTTCATTACAAAATATAAAGTGCCATCATATTAGTGTCAAACTCTAAAGTGCCAAATATATATCCTGCATAAATAGTATATTTCCAATATAAAAGTTCCAATTATAAAAGTCAATGGGGGAGATTTACTAAAGGTGGTTCACTCAGAATCTGGTGCACCTGTGCATGGTGGCCAATCAGCTTCTAACCTTAGCTTGTTCAATTAAGCTTTGGCAATAAAACCTGGAAACTGTTGGGTTCTTTGCAGAAGTACACCTGATTTTGCACTCTTCCAGTAATTTACTCTTTACTCTTCCAGCTCTTTAGTAAATAAACCCCAATATATATTGCAATAAAAATTCCAATGTGCAAAATAAAGTGACTGGTGCTCAATCTTCACATTCTTCGGTGTTCAATATGTGTAACACACTTTGTGCTCCCCTCCTTTTTCACCACACTCACCGAAATATGGTCATATTCACTAAGTTAAGGAAAAATACCCTGCAAAGTGCCAATTCTTTTGCAAAGGCAACAGCCTTTGCCTTTAGTAAATCAATCTATGGACCCCAGGTTGTTTTCAGTTAATGTGCCCCCGCCATCATAAAGCTGTGCTAATCAACACTTTTAATAATCTATTGTATGTTTAAATTCCTGAGTTACCCAAGAACCCCTTAACCTGTGGTGCTCAGTTTGCACATTTTGGCTTCCAGGTTTAAGTCTAATCTTTGGCACAGGGTAGGGGGTGGCAGAGCTCCTACCAAGGTGCTGGAAACTGACATTTTGCATCTGAGGCTCCCCAGGTGCTCAATAAGATAACAAGGTACTTAAACAGGAACTACAGTCATTAAAAAAAATAATTAAAAGTCAGAAGCTACAAATACTGTATCTGGTGACTTTTAATAAAAAACTTGCCAGCCCCAGAGTCCAGCACTATCTTTACCCAGTCTGGTTCTTCATCGGCCTTCGGATCCCAATGTCACCATCATGACTTGTGAAGCTGTGATTTCCTTCTGTTTCTCAGCCATATCTCCACCACGCACTGTGCTTTCAGACTGGTTCTATGGCCTGGGCGGGGAGGGTGGGCAGCCTGAACCTACTCATTTCTCAACTAGGGGAGAAATACAAAACTGGGAGGGGGCCAGAAAAAGGTACTGGCTCCCGAGCGAAAAAAAAGTTCAATAATGGTTAGGAAGGGGGGGGGGGCGGGGGGGGGGGGGGGGAGAGGAGCAGCACCTTTCACTTGTAAGTGACGTTCTGCTTTAAAAGTCCATCATAGTTGCTGCTTTTGACATGTAAACTTAATAATTCTTTTGACTGGTTTATTTGAAGTATTTTCTGATTTATTAGTGAACCTGGTGCATTAAAACAAACTCATAGCCAATAACATTTTAAAATCATTTGTTTTTATTATTATGCAGTTATGCAAGCCTGACCTGTATAATTGTTTTTTTTCTGATTGTGTTTCACTCTGTTACAGATTATTCCTGCACAATAGCCACCTTCCTTATACAGTGAAATCACTTCAATGTCAACTAAGGAAACTCTTACTGAACAGGGTGCAGGCCAATTCCCAGTGCTACGGCACTCGGCAACAAGAAGAAACTAAATTAGACAAAAAACGGGTTTTCTGACTATAAGTGGTTCTGCTATAGGAAAGGGCTTTGTAATGACTGGTAACTTATGTCTGCCAGATTCACTTAATTCAAAAACTACTTCAGTTTTCAGGCTGAAACAGACTGCAAAAGGCTGGATGGGTGCACATTCTTTTGTTACAGTGCTGCTTGGTTGTACTTGTCTCCTTCAGGGCAACAAGTTCGCATAACGTAGTGTTTTTGCAGTGTTCTGCTTTATGTTCCCGGCTTGGTCTTAGTCCTTGTTATTTCCTAACATTCATCTATGAGCCTACTATTATCACTAGCATCAGCTGCACTATTTCCTGTGATATTACCAGCACAAAAGGGCACTTATGTGCTTGTCTTATATCCACATTTTTATATGCTTATGCCATACTAACATTCCCCTTTGTTCACTGATGGACCTTCTGGATCTCTATGCAGTTAATACAGTTTGAAGCTGTGTTCCACCTCAATCTGTTCATAAAAACTATGTAAGTTCACAGTTCATTAAATAAGGGCTAGGTCTCATAGTATACACTCTCTGAGGCTTCAGAACAACCCTAAGATATAAATAGACAAAGTAGAAGTTGTGAGTGTTCTCTCTGGATTCATACCACCAGCTGGTAGAAGTTCCAATCTCTGCAAGCTATTCCTCCTAGATGGATTGAAGCTGCCTTTTGATAGACGCCTCTGTCGACTGGAAAGCATGGCTGCTGGAGACACAATACCTGGAGGAGGCACTTTTCCCATCCTATAATACAGTTCCTCAATCTCTTTCTTCTGCAGTGCTTGTAAAACCTGAACCTCAGACATGTGTCTATTTGCAAAACAAAAAGGCATCAGTAAGTAAATGACCATTATACAAATCATTATATCTTCGTGTAAGAGAAAAAAAATGTGATGTTAATTGTGCAGTATGCTGTATATGATTTTTATATGATACAGTCTTACTTATCTTGCAAATGTTAAAAACAAGACTATTATCTCTCTTTAAACCATGAACATCTGAAAACAAAAGATTATTAACCTTCACAAACCCTTCTCATCGTAATGCTCCATGCACACTGGGCGTTTTAATAATGCTGGCAATGTTAGCTGTGTAAAGTCACGTTAAAAACGTGAGTTTTTCAGCATTTTTGCATTAGTGTGTAGCTGCGTTTTGCCATGGTTTTTTTTTTTTTGCGTTTGCGGTTTTTAGCTTTTTTTTTTTACCAGAAAAAAAAAGTTTTTTGCTCAAAAAAAGTCCCAAAATACCAGTTTGCCGCGTGTCACCACGTTTTTCAGCATTAGAGCGTTTTTTACAGCTAAAAAACTCCTCTAGAAACCCACTAGTTCTGGGGGGTTTTTTCCAGCCGAAAACGCCCTGCCAAAAAACGCTGATTACAGCCTATGTATGCATGAACACATAGGATAAAATGATGGTGAATTTACTGGCTGTAGAAAAAAACACCAAAAGCCAAAAAACAGCCACTGTAAAAACATGGCGTACATAAGGAGTTAAAGTAAAAATAAACCTAAAATAAATACTCCTACCAGCAGGAAAAGGAATTATTCACTATGGCCAGAACATGTCCAGTTCCAATCAAAGTATAAACACTACACAGTCCTGGGCAGGCTGGGGCAGCTGAAAATGGAAGAACTGAAATGGAACAACTTACTTCTGTCTTAGCTGTTGAAGCTCTTCAAAAATATCTCCTCATCTTCACTCTCAGTATCATCGCTGCTGAGATAGGCAATACCTCTGGTGTAATGTAGCCAGACCTGAACTGTGGAGATCTGCTGGGGCGTTTTTTCCTGGTTTTCCTCATCACTAGAAGACTTAGAATCTACACCTTTTGCATTTGCTGATGCTAAAAAGCTGTCCACACAACTTTCCTCATTTATAACATAGTTATTGTGAATGCATTGTTCATTGTCGGTGATGTCCTTGCATCCATCTTCTGATGTAGGGTTGTTGTTATTGAAAACACATATACAGCTTTCTGATACTTCTACAATGTTACTTACAGGAGTTAAGCTTTGCATATCTCCAGAATACAGACCCTCACAGCTTTGTCCACAAACCTCAGGTTCTGAGCAACTAAGATGCCTAGCATAGTCCCACATAGGTGAGTCTACATTGGCACTTGGGGTGAGTCTTCCAGATTCTGATAAATTTCCTTCTGTAGCCTCATCTGTGCTAATATCTGTGTCTGAAGAAGCAGTCTCATATAGCTCTGGGGTGGTGTCTGATCTCGGAGAAATATCAAAGCTGCTGTTCACATCCCAGGTTGTATTAAAGTTTATGGGGTCTTTTGCAGTGTTGTGACTTGAAATCTCCCAACAAGTTTTGGTTGGAACTCTGCAAGAAGACAAAGGGAAAAAACTGAACTTCAATGGTTTTGTTATATTCATTTGATCTTTAATGACAGAAAACAATTATTTGTTCCATAGTGATCTTAACCACTTCCAGCCTGGCACAATCAAATCATCACTGTAATAAATAATCATAGTGAGAAAAACATCCTGATCACCTTTCCATGTCAGCGCTTGCTGAAGCGCACAGTGTGCAGAAGTCGCTAACTGTCTGCCGAGTCAATAGCTAAAGACTTCTAAACATCATCTGGCCTTTAGATTAGCATAACAACAGTGTATAGAGAGCTTCATGGAATGGGTTTCTATGGCCAAGCAGCTGCACCCAAGCCTTACATCACCAAGTGCAATGCAAAGTGTCAGATTCAGTGGTGTAAAGAACTGCTACTGGACTCTAGAGCAGTGGAGATGTGTTCTCTGGAATGACGAATCACACTTCTCTGTCTGGCAATCCGATTGACATGTCTGGGTTTAGCGCTTGCCAGGAGAATGGTACTTATCTGACTGAATTGTGCCAAATGTATAGTTTGGTGGAGGGGGGATTGTGGTGTGGGGTTGTTTTTCAGGGGTGGGGCTTGGCCCCTTAGCTCCAGTGAAGGGATCTCTTAAGGCGTCAGTATACCAAGACATTGTGGACAATTTCATGCTCCCAACTTTATGGGAACAGTTTGGGGATGGCCCCTTCCTGTTCCAACATTACTGCACACTAGTGCACAAAGCAAGGTTCATAAAGACATGGATGAGCAAGTTTGAGGTGGAGGAACTTGACTGGCCTGCACAGAGTCCTGACCTTAACCTGATAGAACACCTTTGGATGAATTAGAGTGGAGACAACAAGCCAGGCCTTCTCACCCAACATCAGTGCTTGATCTCACAAATGCGCTTCTAGAAGAACAGTCAAACATTACCATAGACCCATTCCTAATCCTTGGGGACAGCCTTGAGGTGAAGTATATAGCTGCAAAGGGTGGTCCAATGCAATATGGAACCCTACGGACTAAGACTGGGATGCCATTAATGTTCATGTTCATGTGTGCGTGTAAAGGCAGGCATCCCGATACTTTTGTACTTTTGGCAATATAGTGTGTGTATGTATGTATATATATATATATATATATACATCATATATATATATATATATATAAACCATAGTTTGTGGAAATTTAGCAGAATACATTTTGGTCCAAATTTATGAAGAAAGACTATTTGTTTGCAAACATTTCATTTATATAGCAAAAAAAACACAGTGGAGCTTAAATACCACCAAAAGAAAGCTCTATTTGTCCAAAAAAAAAATTAATTTGGGTACAATGTTGCATGACTGAGTAATTGACATTCAAAATATGATAGTGCTGAAAGCTATTCAGTTTTCTTCTTAAGGAGGAAATCTTGTCTTGAGGGAGGAGTAGTCTGGCTTGGACTGTGTCCAAGATCCAGACAGCGTGAGATCTGGAGGTCACACTTTGGAAACTTGATTGTCCAGCCAAAGTTTTGCAGGAACTGGATGTACCTTTGGACATTGGCAGACAAGGTCCTGGCTGAGGAGTCCTTCATCAAGAGGTCATCCAGGTATCCTGTGACAAGAATATGACGGGTTTATAGAAGAGCCAGAAGTGGGACAGGCACTTTTTTTTGAACACTAAGGGTGTGGAGGAAAGCCCCAACGGCAGTGTCACAAATCTAAAGTGCTGGTCTCCCACAATTAAATGCAAAACATATCACTTTGATGGGAATATGGAGATAGGCACCTTAAATGTCTACTGATGCAAGAAATTCCCCTTGAGGGAAGCAATGACAGATCTCATAGATTTCATGTGGAATTTTGGTACACAAAGAAATCTGTTTAGGGATCTTAAATCCAGTACCGGATGAATGTCCCCATTTCGTTTGCGGACTCTGCATAGTTTAGAAAGAAAACCTTTTCCCCTGAAGGTGGTGCAAGGAGATCAATATATCTGCCTTCCTTTGGTCTGAAACTGGCAGACTGAAATGTAAAAGGCGAGGAAGGCAGGGAAGGAAATTTTATTTTGTAGAGCAGAGGTAGAAACCGTATGAGTAGGAGACTTAGGTTTTTTTCTTATTGGGTAAGAGTACCTTTCCCTCATTTCCTTCCTTGATGCCCAACGTGGATACACTACAGGACACAGTAGTGATGTAGTTATCAGGTGAAACCCTCAAGCACAGGAGATCACACTTCTAAAAAAAAAAACTACCATGAAATTAGTCTTCTGATCATGTGAATTCTGTTTAATATTTTGTGTTCTCTGTCTTCTCACATGATGCATATTCAGAACAACATATTCCCCCCAAACTGATTATTTATAAGGCTCCCTGAATATATAGCATAGGATAGTATATATTCAGATTGTCTTAGAATGTACATATAAACTGTTTAACACCAGCATTTTCACTGCAGAAAGATATAATAAATTCTACTTACCACCCGGATTAATGCAAGAAGGCACAGGACTTGCTGGGGGTGAAGGTGATTGAGGACCACATTTAGAGATTAGAGACGGTGTCTAACAACAAGACAAAAAAACAAGGAGTTAAAATAAATATGATACACTTAATTTACAGAAAGATCACTGTAATTCCTAGAAGAGCAGATGTACAAGTAAACATCTGCAGTTACATAAATTGCTGGCATAAAGGCCCACTAAAGATACATGCGGTATGTGTATGTAAAGTGTATGCAAAGCCACAAACATTTTGTATTTATTTTGGATATAGAGTAGGAATGGATTTGATGTCTGTCATATTTGTATTGCTGTCTGTGTCCCAGCTATGTAGTTTCACCCTCAATACTTGTCCTGGTGCCCATTGTCACCAAGATAGAAAGAGATATGAAATTAAAAAGCTTACAGTTGCCACCATTACAAGAGGTGAGGGGAAATCTTCCAATGGGAACATTTGTTCCTGTAACAACTATCAGAGAGGGGATTTCCCCTCGTTTTGGAGTGTTTTCCTCTCACTTCCTGTTGTTTCATTAGCAAATCTCCCCAATAGGACACAGACAGCAAAAAAAAAACTGAGAGGTGTTTTAACCCATTCTTTTCTAATCCAAATTAGAAAAAAGTTTGGCTATACATACATTATAAAATCTTAGACTATCCATGGCATGATTCATTGCTCATGACTGTTGGATGTCACCGTTAAGGGATTTTCTATCAATGTTTGATCTAAAATCTCTAAACCTCTAAACCAATAACCAATAGATACACATTAGCCGTCTGTGAGAAACCATGTAAAATGCTTTAGCAAAGTCTAAATATACTACACCAACAGCTACCTCTCAGTCCAAGTTTCTGCTTACTTCCTCATAAAAGGAAATTAGATTTGTTTAACAGCATCTGGTATTCAGTTATCAGTGCTTATAATATTATTTGCTATCATATGCTCTTGTATGGGGTCCTGTACCTTCCCCTCCAATATCTTCCCTACAACAGAAGTTGAATATACACGTCTGTAGTTACTGGATGGCCTTGATCCCCTGTTAAATAAAGGTATAAGTAAAACAGGTATTTGGCGCTCAGAAAGGGCTGAAATGGTATCTGCAGAAGAACAATATGAAACATATAAAAGTCCTGGTGGGAATAAAACAATGTCCTTATAAGTTGCGTTACTAGTAGGCTGCCAGCTGGTAGAGAGCCAGAGAGAACCCTGTGGGGAGACCAAGGGAAAAAAAGAGAGCGGTGCCTTCTAAATGCAGCGGTTAAACTCTTTCATAAAACGTTTAATAAAGGCAACTCACAAAAGGCATAGTAAATGGACTTGACTAAGAAACTGAAGCCAAACTCCAGCTAATCATTTTTAAGCAGTTAGAGCAACATTTTTACCCTTTTGGATAAAATGTTTTTAAATAAATGAATGTATATTGTTTGGCTCAAGCCTGCCACATTTGCTGGACAGCTTGGTCTGTTAAAGGAAGTTGAAAAATGACAGACTTACTGGCTGGATCACAGGTAAAAAGAAAAAGACTTAAAAAAGAAAATGAGTGTAGCTACCACATCTATGAATTGTACAAAAAAAAAAAGTGTTCTTCATGTGTTACTGGATTTCATAACACATAGAATTCAATTTTGGTCTGTGTGCAAGTTATGGCAGTGCACAGAAGAAGGAAAATATACAACAATCAATCAGATTTTGGTTTTCCGAAGTCACATAAATTGTTGTTGCAGTTGCAGTTGTACTTTGCTTTACCACAAAGCTACTAGAGTATTCCTGTGTGCATTTTCATCAAGTTGGCCAAGAACGTGTATTCAGATCATGTAGGATCCAGGAGCCGTGACCCTAAATGAATTTCGTTACACCCCTGATAAAATGTAGTAAGTGATTAGCTGCGGCAGGTTGCAACATATCTATAGAAAACATATACGGTAATTATCATTCAATTAAAGTGTTTGAATCAGGCTAAATCAATATTTACTAATATCACTGACCTAATATCAAAGTACTGCCCAGCACACACACTCTGCTCCTCACAAGACCTCCTTCGCTCTAGTTCCCTGGTCTCCTCTCCTCCCATGCCCGCCTCCAGGACTTCTCCAGGGTGTCACCCATCCTCTGGAACTCCCTGCCCCAACCCATCAGATTATCACCTACTCTCCTCTCCTTTAGGCGCACCCTGAAAACCCATCTCTTCAGGGAAGCCTACCCCACCCCCTTGCTAACTTGACCGACCTCCTCCACTTTTCCTACCATTCCATCCCCCACAGCTATCTCCTCCTGTGCCACCATTTCCTCCC